CTCATGAGGGCGGAGTAGTGTGGATGTTGGCCTCGATGCCCCGGCTGCGCATCTCCGCCACCAGCTCCAGCGCGCGGCGAAGCTGCTGGTGACCGCCGCACTGCACGCGTGTGAGCGCACGCCGGGTGCGGGGGCAGGGCAGGGGGGTTGGCAGGAGTTGGGCCGCCGGGAAGCACCAGGGCGAGGCGCCGGCGGCGAGGGAACACGACGCGCACGCGCGGCGCCGGGCACAGGCGCTGCCGACGGGCGACAGCACGGCAAACGCAAGGAGGCAGGCAGGAACACACGCGAGGGGTGGCTCCAAGGTTGGCTGGCACCAGGGTTGCCTCACCTGGCTGATGATTGTGGTGTATGTGTACAGGTCAGCCAGCTTGCTGAGCGGGTGGTCGGCGGGCAGCGAGCGCAGCCAGTCAAAGAGCTCTGCGGGGGTGTGGGGGGCCAGGCACGCCAGGCGGCAGGCGGGCAGGGTTGGCTAGGGTTCGGGCGCAGCGGGGGCAGGGAGGGCAGGCGCCAGGCGCGGGGCTCGCGAGGGCAGGCGCAGGGCAGGCGTGGGCAGCAGCTTGTGTCACTGCTAGGGCTTTGGGCCCACGCACCCGCGGCCCGGTGCGGCAGCCCGCTCTTGGAGAGCTCCTTGAGCAGAGCTGCCACTGCCCGGCTGTCCAGGTGGCGCAGCCCGTCCCTGACTGCCTCCATCACGGGCTGCCCGCCCTTGAGCCGCTGCAGGGACGCGGGCCGAGACGGGGCGAGCAGGGGTGAGGGGTGGAGGCGGTGCAGGCAGCGGGCGGCGTGCCTGGGGCGTGGCATGCGCATGGCAGCTTGCAGACCGGCTTGATCAGGGCATTCGGGTGAGCTGCACGCCTGGTCGGGGCTGCACAGAATGCTGGCGGCCAGGCTCCAGCAAGGGACCAGCGCAGCCAGCGCGTGCCAGCTGGCAGCGCCAGCACCCACCTGCACGGCCTTGACTAGCGACTCTACCGATACCTCGGTGCTGGTGCCTGAGCCCTGGGCCGGCAGCGCATCTCCCTTGCGCACGCTGGTGATGGAGTGCCACAGGCGGCGGTAGCTGCCCTGGGAGCGCTGCGGGGAGGGCGCCGCCGCGGCAGCATCCGGCGCCTGGCGCTGCTCCAGCGCGGCGGCGGCGGCTGCTGCGGCGGCCACTGCGGCATGCTGCGGGCTGCCCTGGCTGCTCACGCTGATGTCGCTGGAGGTGACGAGCAGGTCGTCTGCCGCAGCTGCCTCCTGCGCTGCGGGCGCGGGCGCGGGCTGCGGCAACACCTGGCGGCCAAAGCTCCACCGGCGGCGGTGGAGGGTTGTCGCCGCGGGCTTGCTGTCGGCCTTGCGGGGGCTGCGGGGCTGCTCCTCGTCGAGATCCAGGTCAAACATCGACTCGGCGAGCTTGTCACCGTCGGCCTGCTCTCCCGCGGAGGGTTGTGGCTCCTCATGAGCCCTGCTGCCAAACCAGCCGAAAGAGCGCCGTCTCTGGTGCGCTGGCTTGTCGGTGGGGGCGGTCAACGCCTTGGAGCCGCCTCCCACGCCGCCAAAACAGCCGCTGGCCACCACTTTGCCGGTCATGGCCTTTGAGTCCGAGGGTCGGCCGGGCCGCGGCGCTGGGCGGGCGGGGGGACTGCCCGCTGGCAGAAAGCAATCGGCCTGCCTCAACTGCTGCTTACAGTCCGGGCTCACAAACCCACTCACGCGTCTCGGTGGCACGCGTTCACTGGTGGGGCATGGGGAGGCCTGGAGGGTGGGACAGGTGCCAGTGGAAGCAAAGAAACGATCGATGGACAGGGGGAGCGGCGGTTGTGCATGCCGATGGGTGCCGGCATCTTTGGCCCAGCTCACGAGGTGACCCTTTGGTCACGCCACGAGTGTAGAGCCTTCCAGGAGCCAATTGGCCTCCATGCATCACCAGGGGAATCAGACCAGCCAGGGGGGAGCGAGGGGGGCGTCCGGGGGCTGTGAATGGTGTAGTGCGGCGCGAGGTCTGCCCCCCGGGCGGGAGTTGGCCGGTGGCTGCGCCGGCAACTGATTTGGCTAGGGCATGGCTTTACATGCCTTCTCACGGACGGATCATCTGATGTCAACACGAATCCCAATGAGCATGCCCTCCATTCCTTCCACACTAGCTTGCCACACTACCCGGCTGGCGTTGCCGCGCCTCGGGCTGTGGTTAGCTGCCGCCGCCCGCCGCGTGGTCCGAATTGACCAGCGAGATCTTGAGGGCGCCCGCCGCCAGCCGCTCCTTCAGGTGGCGGTCATAGAACAGCCACCAGTCGGCCCGGGTCTCGGGGATGGCCAGGATGTCTCTGCAGGGGCAAGGGGGCGGTGCGCCAGCTGGCGGCGCCTCGGCGCACGCCACGCGTTTGCTGGCACCCGCCCAACCGCCCGCCCAGCTCCCCAACTGCCTCCCCCTCCACCCCCTGCTGCCACCTTCTTTTCCCCCCTCCCGCCATCTACACAGCATGCGCTGCCAGTCCCTCCTCCTGCTGCTGCTCCTGCTGCTGCTGCCGCCGCCGCTGGTGTCCCTCATGCATCTTTCTGCCGCCGCTCACCGCTGCTTGGCATCCAGCTGCACATCCAGCACCACATGCTTCAGGCGGTCCAGCCTGAGCGCGCCGCCGTCTGCCAGCTTGCACAGGCGGTTGGGGGTGCCCGCGGCGATGCACATGACCTGCATGGGCAGGGAGAGAGGACCCTGAGTAGGAGGTGGACAGGGTTAGGTGGGCAGGTGGCCAGGCAGGCAGGGCCGCCATCAAGCTGTGGCAAAGGCGCCTCACAGGCAAGCCCCCTCCCCACCCCGCTGCTGACATGAGCAGGTCCTGCCCCCCAGCCTCCCACCCACAGCTGTCCGGCGTCACCTGCGAGCGCAGCAGCTCCTCCTGCTCCTGCACCTGCACCCAGGCGGGTGCCAGGCCGCACCTCAGCAGGGTGCACGCCCCACGGCAGGCTGCCACCTGGCGGCAATGGAGCCGCGGGGCAGCATGCAAGGCCACCTGTGCGCCTCCCTCACCACCACAACCACGCCACCATCCCACCATGCATGCACTCATGATATATATACCAACACACCACACACACACACACACACACACATACACACCTTCATGTGCTTGGCAAACAGCTTGCCGATGCGGCAGGCACCGTGGAACTGCGGGCACAGCTTGATGAGTCCCACCGCGCCGATGGCCGACGGCGAGACGAGCAGCAGGCTGGGGCTGCCCGGCGGCCGCTCCTGCTGCCGCGCCTGCCGCTGCCCCTGCCGCTGCTTGCCGCTGCTGACGCCGCCGCAGAACTCTGCCTGCCAGCTGCCGGGCTGCAGAGCCTTGAGCCGAGCCTCCAGAGAGCGCTCTGCCGGCAGCGGCGCCATGCCCGCCGCCACCAAGCCCCCGCACTCCAGTGCGCTGGCTGCCGTGTGCTGCTGGAGTGAGCCCCACAGCCAGTCGGCCTGCTCCTCGGCCGGGCACTCGGCGATCTGCCGCACCAGGTCGCGTCGCGCCTCAAACTCCACCGCCGACAGCTTCTGCCCCCGCTTGCGCCGCTTCTTGGCCTTCTTGCCGCCCGCCGGCTCCCCGCCCGCAGCCCCCTCGCCGCTGCCGCTGCCACCACCCGCCGCGGCGTCCTGCTGCTCTTCCTGCTGCCGCGGGTCTCCACCATCCCGCTCTGCGTCTGACTCCCCGCTGCCGCTGCCTGCACCATCCACCGACTTAAAGTCTTCCATCGTGTCCAGCATGTCCATAAAGTCGTCGACATCGCCACTGGCAGGCGCTTTGCCTGCACAAGCACCACACCAAAGGCGGTCGGTGGCGGCGGCAGTGGCAGCAGCGGCGGCGGCACACTCGAGTTGGCGCAGGCGGTGCTTCGCGCTGCTTCTTGGGAAAATTCATGCAGCCTTCTCTCAGCTCTGACGCTGCTGAAGCACGAGCAGTGTCACGTCTCACCTTTGTGTGCAGCTGGTGCGGGCGGCGGCGCCTCGGCTTTCCCCTTCCCCTGCAGCTTCTTTGCAGCGAGCTTCTGCTGCTTCTTGCGAGGCCCGCCGGGCCACCACTTCTTGCGAGCTCCCGCCGCCGCCTTCCCCTTCTTCCCCTTGCCCTCAGCTCCTCCCATCGTGGCCAGAATCGAGTGCAGCAGGGTCGGAGATGTAGGTAAAGTGCTGCAATGCGCGCATGCATGCTTCATGTGGCGCCGGCGGTGGCAGCCAGGCTGTGCCCCGTCAGCAGTGCTGCAGCCCTTCTGTAGATGGCCCTTGCAATCCCGAGATGCCAATTCTCACTGGAATTTGTTACAGCATGAACACGCTGGTTCTCTGACGGTTGATCGCGTGCCACACGCTATTGACTGACGGCCAAATCAAAGGGTGTAAAGTGCAGACAGCGGGCAAACAACGAGAGAGAGCAACCGACCTGGTAAAGGAAAACGGGGCGATGTAGCCCAAAGTGCTTTTAAAAAGGTGGCTTGGCGAACAGAGCTGCACGCAGGCCAGCTGCAGCACGATACTAGCAGCAACAATGGCGGCCAGGCTGCCACCTGGCTCGGGCTGCCGCTCGCTGCGAGCACGGCAGCCGCAGGGTCTGGAGCGAGGCAGGAAGGAGGGACTGACTGTAGTGGTAGGTCGTTTGTTATGCCGAGGCCAGACAGGACACTGTCTGGGTCTGTTGCCAGACAGGTGTGTGGCTCTGTAAAACTGTGGCTGGCAGCTGGTCCAGCCGCCTCAGGCGCTGGGCTTGGGCGGGTTCTCTGAGCGCGGGAACTTCTTGCTGCCCGCAGCCCAGTCGGCCACGGCCAGCGAGCTGGCAGACGCCTCGTCCAGCACCCACGTCAGCTTGCCTGCGGGGCCAAGGTGGTCCGTGGCAGGGGCACAACGTGCAGGTCTGGTGCAAGGCAGTCGCCGCCGCTAGGCAGCAGGCACGCGCCGGCAGCTGCAATGTGGAACGGTTGAACAGCTAGCCGACCGCCACGCACATTCATGTGCCCTCCCACCCATGCACATGAACACGTGCACACACACACACAGCCCCGCCACCAGCCGCCGGCAGCAGGCTCACCGCTGGTTGGCTGCACCAGCTGCACCGGCAGCGCGCCGGGTAGCGTCTGCACCTCCAGGGCCCGCTGCACCACCTCCGCCTTGCCCTGCACGCCAGGCGGCCGCGGTGGGGAGAGGTCAGGGCAGGGGTGGGTGGGGTGTGCCACTGCACTGCCCGTTGCAGCAGTGCCCGCCCACTCCCAGGGTGCCGCCCTTCCCCGCGCTGCGCTCCAGCTCCCAGCCCGCCGACAACACACCCCAGCGCGCGCCTGCACACCGCAGCCCGCGCCTGCACACCCCAGCCCGCGCACCTGCCCCAGCGCCACCACCGCCACGTTCTTGCCGGCGTTCAGCACCGGCATGGAGAGAGTGATGCGCTCCGGGGGCGGCTTGGGCGAGTTGCTGACGGGCAGCACCCAGCCCTCTGCAGGAAGGCAACACAGGCAGGCAGGCAGGGCACGTCAGCGACATCCCAGAACCCCCCCAGCATAGCGACACCCATCCAAGCCCCGCTCCATGACTGCCTGCCGCCGCTGCCCGCTGCCGCGGGTTGCACTCGCACGGGCCGTGCGCGGCACGGGCACGGGAAACACAAGACCCAGAAGCGGCGGGTGTTGGAGGCAGGCGGGAAAAGGGAGCCCCACCCGTGGCAGCCGTCTCCCGGCGGTTGGGGAACAGCGAGGCGACATGTCCGTCTGGGCCCACCCCCAGCAGCACGCAGTCAATCTCCGGGAATCCCGCGGCGTTGCGGGGCAGCACCGAGCCGCTCAGCTCCAGCAGCTGGCCTGCGGGGCGGGGCACGGGATGGCGGCAGTGGGCGGGCGGTGGGCGCGGCAGGCCCGCCGAGAGGCAGGCACCGGCAGGTGGCGCCCGGGCGTCCCCAGCCCAAGCTTGTTTCCAGCCCCAGCCCAAACACGGAGTGCTGGGGGAGGCGCAGAGCAGGCGGTGGGTGTGCAACCCGGCACAGCATCGATCTCCCAGCCCGGTGCCAGGTGAGCGTGCCAGCACAGCATGCCAGGTCAGCGTGCCAGCTGGGCGCCGGCTCACCCTCATAGTGCACCGCGGCCTGCGCCACGGGCAGCCCCTCCTTGAGCGTCAGCACCTGGCTGGCCGGCACCGGCACCTTGCGCAGCAGCTGGGCGTGCGCGGCGGCGTGGTTGGAGTCTGGGCTGGACAGCGGCACGTTGCGCTCGTCCACGTACAGCACCCACCTGCAGGCAGGGCAGGGTGGCGAGGGAAGCGGCGCTACAGCTCAGCCATCGCGTGCAGGCCAGGCAGCAGGCCGGGGCACGGGGCACGCAGATGGCCGAGCCCCGTGGCAGCAAGCAGCAGGGGCAGGGGACGCAGCAGCAGCCCCGCTCCCGGCAGCGGCGACCGCCATTCGCAGGCGCCGAGCCCTGCCCACGGCGCTGCCGCAGACTACAGGGCAACCCAGCCCGGCAGGCCAAAGCAAGCAGCCCGGCAGGCCAAAGCAGGCTCAGCAGGCTCACCACTTGGAGAAGTCGACATCCTCCCGCCCCACAAGCCCCGCCAGGCTCTTCACCATCGAGCCTCCCGAGAGCGCCAGGGTGAAGGCGCCGCGCTGCGCCACCGCGGCCGCGGCTGCCGCCGCCACGTAGTCCGCCAGGCCCGCGGCGGCGGCAAAGTCGCTGCCGTAGACGTGCACCGCGACGTCGCCGCCGCCCGAAGGGTAAGTGAACATGAGCGGGTGGATGTTGATGCCCGGCCCGCGCGACTGGCTCAGCGGCGCGGCCTCGCCCGACGGCATGAAGTGGCCGCCCATGGCGGGGGGGATGCCCTCGGGCCACCTGCATGCGGCCGGCGTGGGCGGGGAGGGCCAGGGGCGAGCGTGGCGAGCGCACGGGGCGGCAGCAGGGGCGGCGGCGGGGAGCAGCGCAGCGGAGAGGGGTGGGGAGGAACGCAGCTTTGCCGGTGCGGTCCCCAAAGCCCGATCGGGCTGCAATGCGCCGCATTGGCCAGGCGTCCAGGCCAAACAATGGCTGGGGCGGCGGGTGCCCGCTGCCGCGGGCGCCGCGGCGCCGCCATGCAATCTGGCATGCAGCATGGGCAGTCTGGTTCCCCGCACCTGCTGATGGGCTGGATCACGTTCACTGCCGGGGAGGGCACGCGCTCCTCCTCCTGCTCCAGCACGGCGGTGCCAGCGCCGTTCTGGGCGCTCTTGTTCTCCACCTGCTGCGCACGCACCACCACCACGCGCTGCTGCACGACGGTCCGGGCCAGGCGGCGCTCGCTCAGGGTCCGGCACTGGGTGGGGCGCAGGGCGGCGGAATGGCCCATGGGGGTTGTGTGCGGGCTATTGGGCAGAAGCGGGGAGGCACCGAGACCCTCCAACTAGTGCGACAAACAGCTCCGACTGCGAAATGGCAACGCCGCCACGGCGGTTGCTCCTCATGCGAGCGCGCGCCCCTCTGGCAGTGGTCAGCATGCTGTGGGGCAGAAAATCAGGCTTTAGTGCAGCATTGCAACGTAGTCCTTGTGCATGCACATCGCCTGGAGGCGATTGCGACAGCGGCCTGGGTTTTCTGATCGTATGGCGCGAGCAAAGGGGTCCCAATCGGCCACCGCGCCCGCAGAGGTGACGAGGATGCGGTGCTGGTTGGATCCGCGAGCCCCAGAGGCACGCAGGCCCTGGCTTTGACCACCCGCCAGCTGCCGCCACCGCCGCCCCTGCTGCCTTTGCCCGCTGCTTGCCTGCTGCCCTGCAGGACGATGTGACCATCAGCACCTTCTCCGAGTCCTCCAAGGACATGCACGTCCGGGTGGAGAAGCCGGCAGCGGGCTACCTGTGCACGCTGAGCATGTTTGCCCGCGTGCCGCTGCCGCCCGACCAGCTGTTTGAGCTGCTGGTCTCCCCAGACGACTGCAAGCGCATCTTCAAGAGCCTCAAGGTGCGGGGCAGGGCCAGGGCTGCAGCATAGCGGCGCCTCCTGCACACAGTCATGAGACCATGGCCTGGAGCTGGGGAGGAGGGCACGGCGGGAGCCCGAGGCAGGGCGCCCGCCGCCGCGGCCTGACCGCCCGCTCGCCCGCTCACCTGCTCGCCCGCTCCCACCCCTGCCCCTGCCGCCATGGAGCAGAACGTGCACCACCGCCGCGTGCTGGCCGACGACGGGCACGGGAACCGCACGGTGGAAGTCGACCAGACAGGCTCCTGGCGCTTCCTCATGTTCCGAGGCTCCTTCACCGTGCGCATGATTGTGGAGCAGCGGCGCGCCGACCGCATGGTGCGTTCAGAATGCCTATGGCGCTGCCGGCGGCAGCAGCGGCAGCTGAACGGCCGGCGGGCTGCCATGCGCGCTGCACCGTCAGTCCTGTTTGCTCGCGACTCCATGCCCTGCCGCACCGTATCACGGCTGCCGTGTCTGTCCCTGAAGCCCTCCCGCCTGCGCCACCCCACCCCGGCCACACCCCACCCCACCCTGCAGATCCACTTCCGCCTGGCCCGCTCCGGCTTCATGCGCGACTTCAGCGGCACCTGGGTGGTGCGACCCTTTGGCAACACCTCCCTGGACCAGCTGGTCAACAGGCACAACCCCACGCCGCTGCACCGCCTGCAGGCGAGTCGAGGCCGGCACAAGGCGCGGCGCGGCGGGGCGGTGGCGGGCCCCGCCTGGCAGCCGTCGCCTGCAAGCCGCCTGCATGTCGGGGACTCGCGTGCCGCTGTGCCTGTTGCAGCTTGCACACACGGCCTGTTCAACTCAACCCCACTGCTGCAGTCGGGCCTGCGGGCGGTAGAGCAGACGCTGGGGCTGGCGGGGCAGCAGCAGGAGAGCCTGGTGCAGCTGCAGCAGAGCATCGCGCCCGCGCTGGCGCCCCCCGCAGCCGTGACCAGGCTATTGCAGCGCATCGCGGCCAAGCAGGTGCGCGGAAGCTGCCTGGCTGGCTTGCATCCTTGTAATACTAGCCTGCCTGGCCTGCATGCTTGCACAGCTGGGGTTGGTGCAAGAGGGCCAGCCTTGCTCCCGCTTCCTATGTGGCACCTGCTTCTCACCTCTGCTTGCCACCTGTGGCTCTATGCAGATCACCAAGATCATGACAGACTTGCAAGTGGAGGCGCGGCGCATCAATAGCAGCAGCGGCAGCAGCAGCGGGGGACTGTTGGAAGCGCCAGAGGCGGCGGAGCAGCAGGGGCCAGCGGCGGGGGCAAAGAAGGGCAAGAAGCAGCAGCGGCAGGAGCAGCAGCAGGCGGCGGATGGGCGGCTAGATAAGAAGCAGCTGGCAGCGCACGTGTCCGACCTGCGCTGAAAGCAGCCTGCGCACCTGCCGGCTGCCCATGCAGCCACTCGCCTCCTGTAAGCCACCCTGTTTCCTTTGTTCCTGGTCAAGTGAATGCAGTAGGCTCCGCGACTGAAAAAGAGGGATTCATGCTACAACATCAGTCAATACATCACGGTCATGGGTACGAAAACACGAGAGCCAGGCCCTCATCCGCTGGCCGGCGCCGCCTTGCTGCTGCGCAGCCGCGAGAACGTGCTCTTGCCGCTCTTCTCCGCCGGCGGCTCGTACGGCAGCCGCATGGCGATGGCCTTCTGTATGCTCAGCCGGTCTGTCAGCTCCACCAGGCCCTGCAGCAAGGGGACATGCGGGCGGCACCCATATGAGTGTGTGTGTGTGTGTGTGTGTGTGTGCGCGCGAGCGGCACGACAAGGCGGCCCCACAACCCGGCACAGCCTGCCGCTTCCGGCCCAGCCTTGCGGCCGCCCGAGCACCCACCCAGGCGTGCCCTCACCTCTCTGCACACCTCGTCCACCACCAGCGCCGCCAGCGCATAGTTGGAGAAGAGCAGCGCGTCTGTGAGTGCGGCCGCCTTGAACACCTCTCGGTACACGGCGATGATGGTGCGCAGCACCTCGGCCACTGCAAGGGAGGGCAGGCAGCGGGGTGCGGGGATGAGGACGGAGCTCGATACAGGGAGCAGATATTTCAGCCTTTCAGCAGCAGCGTGGAATGTAGCTCGCTGTGCCAGCAGGGCGACGTGATGACCAGAGCATGCAGCGGGCAGGCGCGGCAGCGCCGCATGTCCGCTGCTGCCCGCGGCTGCTCACAGGCCAGCTCGTTGTATTCTCCGGTGCCCAGCGCGAAGAGCAGCAGCTCCCCCGAAGGGATGCACACTATGCGGCCGTTCCTGCGCGCGCGCAAAGAGGCAGAGGCGCGCCGGGTGGGGTGGGGTGCAGGACGTAGCTGCTAGGCGCAGGCAGCCAGCCAGCATGACGCAGGCATCACTGTGAAGGGGAGCAAAGGTGCGCACCGGAAGCGGCCCACCAGCTCCACGTCATCTGCTGTTGACCGGGCCGCCGCCGCCGCCGAGCTGGGGCCAGCCACGCCGTCGAAAGCCCCCCGGATCTCTGCCTTTTCGCCCTCGCTGAACTGGTCGTAGAAGCGCTCATACACCACCTGGCCCTGCGCAGGGCAGGAGGGGGAGCATGCAACTTGTGGCAGTGGGGAAGGCATGGTGAACGGCAGGCAGCGGCGGCGGGGGCGGCGGCGGCAGCGTGTGGCGGCTGCCGCGCTTCGCCACGGCGCCTCCAGCCCATGTGCCACGGATCGTGTGGAGAGCCCAGAAACGAGCTGGTCCCAGGAGCAGCAGGGGCTGCACACACCTGTCGGGTGGTGATCGCCAGCGCGTTTATTCTGCCGCAAGACATCCTCTGGGCTGCTGCGACTGCCCTGGGTTGAGATCAAAACGGTAACGAGGGTCCTGGGCGGCAGGCAGCGCAGAGGGCCAGCGATCGAGGGGCTGGCTGTGTGTGGGCTGAGCTCTGGGTCACGCCAACAGGATTCAGCAACTGGCGGCCTTTGCAGCGCTTGCAAAAGATGAGGGCGGGCTGTAAAAGAGACCCCCTCCCATGCAGGGCTGCAGCCGGCTGAAGACAGTCCCGGCGTGCTGCAAGCATTGCTTTTCAATCTGAATTCGTTCATTACCGCCGCTGGGCAACGCCCTGCACGCCCACAGCTCGCTTGCGACACCAAGGTTGGAAATAGCGCCGATTTGGAGGGCTCTCCACCAGCGATGGCGGGGCGGGCCGGCCTGAAGGCCACGCGTCTGGACCCGCTGGAGGCGGCGGGAGCCGCGGGGCCGCCCAGCCTGGTGGCCTCGGGCGGCACCATCGTCGCAACCGCCTGCGCCGGCGCCGTCTCGGTGCTGTGCCCCGGTCGCAGCCCCATCCTGCTCAAAGCCGACAGCACCAGCAAGCCCATCGCCTCCCTGGCCGTGTCGCGCGACGGCCAGTGGATTGCGGCGGGGCAGCGCGGCGCCAAGCTGGCGCTGTTCCTTTGGCGCGCGGCAGCGGCAGACGGCGGCGCCGCAGGCTGGGCTCAGCCGGCCCTGGAGATTGCACGGGCCCAGCACAACTTTGGCATCGCCGCCCTGGCCTTCAGCCCCAGCGGTGAGTACATCATGGGTGCCGCACGCACCCTCTTTGCGTTCTTGTGGGTGCTGGCCATCTCATTCTAATATGACCCGCTGACCGCAAGCCCCCGCCACCCGCTGGGCACCTGCAGGCCGCCTGCTGGCCTCCCACGGCGCCGAGCGGGACCACCAGGTGGTGCTGTGGAGCCCGCAGGCCTCGGGCAAGCAGCTGGGCCGTGCGCGGATCAAGGAGAGCTACGACGCCATCGCCTTTGCGGCAGAGGACAGCCTGGTGTGCATCAACCGGCACAACCTTGCGGTGTGGGCCCTGGAGCGCTGCACCTCGCCCGGCGGCAACAGCATGAAGCTGGCGTGCCGCTCCTTTGCGCTGCCGCCGCTCCCGTCCCACGCCCGCTTCGTGGGCCTGGCGGCGGCGGCGGCCCAGCCCGGAGGCAACCCGCGCGCCGTGCCCCGCCTCCTTGCCGCCACCGATGGCGGCAGGCTGCTGCGGCTGCGGGCAGGCGGGCCCACGGTGGACAAGGCGGTGGATGTGCAGGTGGGTGCTGGGGTGCAGGGCTGCCAGTGACTCGTGTGGTGAAGGACAAAAGCGCTCATGACTGCCTGTGCATATTGTGTCTAGCATGCGTTTCTTGACAGCACAGCTGCCTCGCCTGTCGTGGCGCAGCTGCTGCAGGGAGCCAAGCTGATGCACCTGGCGGTATCCGGGGAGCTTGTGGCGGTGGCAACCTCAGGCGGTACCATCGCCCTCTACTCTGCTGCCAGCCTGGAGCTGGCGGGCGTCCTGCCGTCCGCACAGGGCAGCCAGGGCGGACGCTGCAGTAGGGACGCCGTGCTGGGCTGCGCCTTCAGCCCTGACGGCCAGGCGCTGACCGCCTGCACTGCCGGCGGGCAGCTGGTGGCCTGGCACCTTGCCGACCTGCAGCACCCCACGCCCGCACTCATGAGCCAGTCCCACAGGCAAGCGTGTGGGAGGAGGCAGGGCACGGCTCCCACTTGCTGTGGCGGGTCTGTAGCGCTGCGCCCCACAGGTCCCCGTCTGAGGCAGCCCTCACACACTTTGCACCCCACTCTCAGCTACACCACGGCTGCCTGAATGTGCAGCGAAGCCATCACCGACGCTGTCATCGTGCCAGGCGGCGGCGAGGGCGGCAGCCGGCTGGCCACATGCAGGTGAGTGGGTGGGCTGGATGGAGCACAGCGGCTAACCTGCCATTTCCTCAGCTGTCTGTCCGAGGTTGTATCTTAGCTCTGCCCCCGCCTCTGTAGCCTGGATGGCTCCCTGCAGCTGTGGGAGTGCGCCAGCAGCGGTGCCCTGCGCTGCGCCGCCACGCTGGATTTGCGGGCGCAGCTCAAGTCTGCCGCCACCAAGCTGCTGTGCCTGGCTTCCAGCCCCGACGGTCGGCTGCTGGCGGCAGGTGGGCAGAGGCTCAGATCTCGCCTTCCAGCCGCAGGCAGTGCTGCTGCATCACACAGCCTGATCCCTCTCCTGCCCCTGCTGCAGGCGACGCCGCTGGCTGCGTCCATCTCGTGGCTGTAGCTTCCTCGGCGGCGGCCCCTGCCAGGCTGGCCACCCAGCTGGCGCATGCAGACGACGTGACTGCCCTGTGCTTCGCAGCTCCCTGCGCAGAGGCAGAGGCAGAGCCCGCGCCTGGCAGCCAGCCGCTGCTGGCGGCTGCCAGCAGGCGGGGCCTCATCAAGGTGCTCAGGGTCCAGCTGGACGGCACCTGCACCCAGGTGGCCACTGTGGCGGAGCACCAGGCGGCGGTGACGGGGCTGGCGCTGCCTGCCGGCGGCGCCTGGCTGGTCAGCGCAGACCGCGGGGGCAAGCGCCTGATGCACCGCCTGGATGCCGCGGCAGGCACCTCGCAGGTGGTTGCACAGGCGGCCATCCCGCGCTGCAGCTTTGTGGGAGGCCTGGCGCAGGGGCTGCGCGGCCAGTCGCTGGTGGGCGCCAGCCGGACCGGCAAGGTCTACACCTGCGACGTCAGCGGGCAGGAGATGGGCGTGGTGCAGGTGCTGGAACGCAATCAGGGTGAGGAAGACCGGCAGTAGGTCCACACAGAACTGCTCTAGACGGGTGCTCGGCTCTATTCACTCGGGGATCGCTTTCCTGGGCGACTCTCCTGGGCTAGTCTCCTGAGGTGATCCTTTGGATGCTCCCCACCTGAGCGCTGCCGCCTGCCCCGCCCCGCCTGCCCCGCAGGCGAGCTGGCCAGCTTCGCCATTGACGAGAGCCTGAGCCTGCTGTGCGCAGCCACCACGCACGGACAGCTGCTGCTGTGCAGCCTGGCCGGCGGTAAGACGGTGCCGGTGGCGGCCTGCAGGGCTCACCTGGCAGGCACTGCCATCAGCAAGGTGGGCGGCGCCTGTGGGTGGGACCAGGCGCGCCCCGAGGAGAGGCGGGGAGGGGTGGTGCCCGCTGATCTCCCCCTGCTGACCTCCCGAGCTGCGGCCCAGCTGCATCTGTCTGACCTTCAAGCTTCGAGCCTGAATTGCCTGATTATGTCTTTTCCTGGCTCTTGCTGCCCCTCGTTGCAGGTGCTGATCACTCCAGACAGCCGCTGCATCGTGTCGGTCGGCGAGGATGCCAGCGTGCGCTCCTACCGCCTGCCCGCAAGCAGCACCGCCCTCTGCTGCGAGGCGCAGCAGGCAAGCCTGAGGCTGGCGCCGGCGTGCGGATGACGGTAGCAACGCGGCCATGAGCAGCAGCCTGGGCGCTGAGCGCCTAGCTCCTATCACGATTGATTCGTGGTCATGCTGTGTGCCCTGCTGTGCAGCGCCCGCGCACTGTGGCATGCGACGTGGAGGCCCCTGCCGGCTCCGGCAGCTGCTCCAGAGCTCTGAGCGAGAGCGTGACCTCCGCCATCCGGCCCAGAGGTGCGCCGCCTTTCCGGCCTTCCCGGACATGGCATGCATGCTTATCAGCACAGCGGGCCCAAGGCAGTTCGGCCTGTCCCTGCTGCAGACCTGCTGGCTGCCATGGATGAGGAGGTGGCGAGCGGGCCGCAAGAGCCAGCCGAGGAGGAAGACGCCGCCATCCCTGCATCGGCAGCGCCGCCGCAAGATCTGGTGCCCCAGGCAGTCACCACGCTGCTCATCCCACCAGCTCCCCAGCCGGATGCTGCCAACTTGCTGGCCCCAGCGGCGGTGCTGGACACTGCAGAGGACTGTGAGGACGTGGCGCCGCGCGCCGCCTCCATCCCGCCCTCACCCAACCGCCACGCCATGCTGGGCGGCAGGCAGGCGCAGCTGGAGGAGCTGCTGGAGCTGCAGGCCCGCTTTGCGGCAATGAAGCCCCGCGGCGGCGCGTGCGCTGGGCAGGGCCAGGTGAGCCGTGCGTGGCAGCAGGAAGTGGGTTGCCAGTTCACACTGCACTGCAACATGTGGGATGGCAACTCCTGCAGCAGTGGCGGCCATGCAAGCGCTGGCATGACATGTGCTGCGCCGCACCCCATCCCACGCTGCAGGAGACCGCACCTCCTGCCGCCGTCGCTGCAGCCGCGCCCGCTGCTGCGCCTCCAGCAGCCGCCTCGCCCGCGCCGCCGCCGCCGGCCGGCTCCCCAGGGCCCATCTTTGGCTCTCCCTACCAGAGCATCTCCTCCCTCAGCCTGGGAGCCCTCAGCTCCCCAGCCCTCCACTCTCCCGATGTGTTTTCAGACCTTGAGGAGCCTGCCGGCGGCGGCAGCGAGGCTGCGCTACCGGCCACCACCAGCTGGCACCCGCTGCGTGGCGCAGCCGCGCCCAAAGGGCCCACCCTCCTGCCAACCAGCCCGCTGCAGCCTGGGCCTGACGCAGCTGGCGGCGGCAGCAACACAGAAGCCGGTGCTGCGCGGGACAGCGGCAGGCAGGGCGGGGACGCGCCCCACATTGCCAAGCTCAAGAGCGGCCGCAGCGCCAGGCTGCAGCGCCTTGTGCGCACACGCCACGACAGCGCAGACCTCCTGTACTCCCCGCTGCCGCGCACGGGGCAGCGGGTGGCAGGCTCCACGCCGCCTCACGCCAGCGCCACCGCCAGTGTAGCCCGCGGGCGGCCTGACCGGGAGACACCAGGGTGCGTGCCTGGGCCAGAGGAAGGCCCTGCCCCGGCGGCAGCAGCGGAAGCTGCTGCGCCAGCCACGGCGCCGGCTTCGCCGCCCGATGGCCCCGCCGGCGCCAGCACCCCGCCCGCCCCCTGCTCCGCCACCGTGGACATTGGTGGCGAGGGCAGCCCTCTGGGCAGCGCCTCTGTGAACCAGACCCGTCGCCGGCGGTCCTGGGGCCCTGTGCCCAGCAGCGAGCCCCGCCGCGCGCTGAGCTCGCTGAGCAGCTGCGGCAGCGCAGGTGGGCGCATGCAGCACGCCGCTGCCTCTGCAGCTTGGCCATGGGACGGGCATTGGGCCCGTGCCACTCACCCTGCTCCCCTCACTCCTGCGCTGCCTGCAGATCCGGAGGCGGCGGGGTTTGGCGCCGAGCAGCGGCGCCACTCCGCCCTGGGCATCGAGCAGCCGCCGGCAACCGATGGGTTCAGCGTGTATGCCGACTCCAGCGCCAAGGGCACTCCCGCCGCCGCAGGCAGCAGCTGCAGTGGCGGTGGCAGCTCCACCTCTCGCCGCCTGTCCTTCTCTTTCGGCGGCGGCGGCCTCGCGTTTGGCTGCACTGAAAGCAAGGTGGGCTGGGCTCTTGTCCTGTCACTATAGTCATCTTCTAAACTGCTAACTAAGAGCTTAGTTAGGGTTAGGCCTGCATCAGGGGATCCCGACCTGCCCTGCATGCCGCCTGCCATGCCCTGTGCTGCCGTGCAGCATGAGGACACGCCGCCTCTGCCGGGCCAGCCCAAGCCCGGCGGCGCTGCTGAGCCGACAGCGGCCGGCCCCGCCCTTGCTTTCCGCTGGGCAGGATACAGCAGCCCCGGGCTGCCTGGTGCGGCGCCGTCGAGCGGGGCCACCGACAGCACGCCACGCATCTTCCTCGCTCCAGCGGCGGCAGTGGCTGCGCCTGCCATGCCAGCTGCTGACGGCGCACCCCGGGCTCAGCTGGCCAGCCATGCCATCCCTGGCACTGCTGCCAGCTGTGCTGCAGGGCCTGCAATGAGGGACAGGCCTGCGGTTCCCCGCCTGAACTTGGCAGCGGTGCAGGCCGCCCCCGAGCAGCCGGCGGCTGCCAGCGGCGGCAGCAGCGCCGCGTTTGCCCAGAAGCGCAGCAGGCAGGCCAGGGAGGCTGCCTCTCCCGCAGAGAGCGCTGCCAGCACCGGCACGGGAGGCAGCCCGTGGTCGACAGGCGGCGGCATCGACAGCCCGCCTGCTGGCGTGGAGGCGTGGGAGGCTGCCGCCGCCGCCGGAGCGGCGACCCCCGACCCGGGGGGCACTGCCTCACCTGCCAGCAAGAAGAGCAGGCCCGCGCTGCCCTCCCCGCCCCGCCTCGTCATAGACTGCCAGCTCTTCTCTCCGGAGCTCTCAGCAGGCAGGCCCCAGGCGCCCGCGGCCGCCGCCACCGACGCCGCGCCTGACGCACCGAGCGGCACCTCTGCAAGCCAGGAGCGACCGGCGTCCCTGTGGCCCGTGGCAGCGGGCAGCTGCAGCGCCGCCGGCGCCGCCGCCGGCGCTCCGGAGGCACTGGATCCCTTCAGCAGGCCAGCCAGCTATGACCCTCTGGCTACGGCAGAGCAGGATGCACCTGGGGGAGTCCTGCCGGCACCGCCGCCTGCCGTGGCCCTGGATCAGAGCCCCGCTGCCAGCCACGACGCGGCTGGCAGCTCAGACTCGGCGCCAGCCTCCTCCCTGACCCTGCCTGCCGCGTCTCCTGCCAGCGGCAGCAGGGGCGGCAGCTCTGCAGAGGAGGCGCAGGCGGCTGCTGGACCCGCTGAGGTGCTGCGCTTCTTCAGGCAAGGCCTGCAGGTGCTCGCCAGCCTGCAGCAGGCAGGCATAGGCGGCTCTGGTGGCCTGCTCGATGCTGCAGCATTCCGGGCAGAGCTGCTGGACATAGCTGGCCAGCTGCACCGAGCAGCCGACCACGTGGCGCCGCCGGGCGACGGCGGCGGCGCGTCTGCGGCTGTGGTGGCTGGCGGCCAGGAGAATGTGCACAGCAACGGGGGTGGCTGCCCCGCTGACCTGGCGGCTCGTGCTGACCTGGCGGTCCTCAAGCAACAGATGGGCGAGCTGAGGAGGGAGCTGGCACAGCTGCGCAGCAAGTGACCCACGGCAGCGGCGGCGCCTGGCAGCAACGGCGCCGGCAGCAGCGTGCCCCCCAGGCTGGGGATCGGATCGCGATTCACATGGATGCTGCCGCAACAGGCAGAGAGAAGAACACTGAAACTTGAACCTGCTGTTTAGCGCTTATCGTGCGAGCCTCTGAGGGTAAAACAACGAATGAATGGCTTGCTGTCCAACCTTTCTGCTGAAACTGCAGTTTGCCTTCTATTCCTGCTAGCTTGCCTTGTGCTGTTAGATCTGATATGCCAGGCCCTCCAGCTGCCACGCCGCAAGTGCCGCTGCTGCGGCCTCAGCCGCGCCCGTCGCGCCAGCTCTGCGCCTTAACGCCCGCTGGCTCCCTGCCCTGTCTGGCTGAGTAGCCCTAACCTTGCCCCGTCTCCTCGCCAGTTCTAGCGCTGGCTTCCGCCTCGGGCGCCTGCTCCTCAGGCTCCGGCTGCTGCTGGCGCTGGCGGAAGAACTCCTGAACCCGGCGCTGCATGTCGGGAGTGGCGCCGGTGCAGTGGCTGGGCGCCGCGGCAGACACATCCACCAGGCCGCCGCCGCCGCCGTCGGTGGCGCCCGCGGGGAAGTCATAGCCTGCGCTCACATTGTCCACCGCCATGCCAGTCACCTGCAGGCGCGCGGGGGCAGAGGCCCACGCTGCGTAAGGCCTGCTGCTCCGGTGGCCGAGGCGGAGGCTGCGGCGACAGCTGTGCCTGCTACTGCTGCTGCTAGTCGTCGGTTGCTGCAGCCCACTGTGGTTCCACGGCTTGCCGTCGCCTTGCGCCAGGTTGGCGGCAGGCGGGGCAACCCACCGGGTCATACGCCACGGGCCACTTGCCAAACGACGTGGCCACTTGCCCGTGCTCATCGTAGCCTGCATGGGGGGCCCGCTGTTAAGGCAGGCGCCGAGCGAGGGGGCGTGAGCAGGCCGCCGCCGCGCCCCCGTTGTATGCACCTGTGCCCTTTTCAAACTGCGCCCCCGTTGGCACATTGCCTTGACCATCATGCGTGCCATAGCCTGCAACACACATACATCTGATACTCCTATTTCATTGGGTTACGCACTACAACAAACGCGAGACAGCAGGCCGCCGGAGCAGTGTGGCGGCTCCCCCGCTGGGGCGCAGCCGCGAGCACCTGTGTCTGAGAAAAGGTCGCTTGGAGCGCGTCCGTCTGCGCCTCACCGGAAAGGAGGTTGCGGTCAGATGCAGGAGCCGGTGTCGGGAGCGGGCTGGGCAAGATTCTGTCACTCGCTCACCTGCTCCGCCCTCGCCCATCGAGTTGCTGAGGTTCGACATCCTTGTTGACGATTGCACTCAAGTTTTACAAAGCGGTGTATGAGACCGACAGCGCATGGAGACAGATTTGCCCCGTCATGACGCGTCAGCAGCGCCAGCGGCGCCAGCTGTGCACAGGGCGGCGGAGGGCTCCAGCTGCACGCTGCCAAACATTCGACTCATTGCTGCTTGCGCCACACTGCTGTTTGCGACCGGCACAGCACCAGCAGCACCGCCGTCGCGCCGCAGGCCATGGCTGCTGTCGTGCCCGCAGCCACCAGCGGCCCATGCCGCACGTTGCCTGCTGGCATGTCCCACCACACGCCTGCTGCTGCGCCGCGGCCCGTGCCGTCTATGTCGGCTGCCTGCCAGCCACCGTCGCCCTGCTCGTCGCCAGGACACCGAACCAGCACACGAGGAGGCGGCAGCTCTGCCGTCGCCGCCGCGGAAAGGGCTGCTGCAGCCCAGCCGGAGTTGCCTCCTGACTGCTGCCGCAGCTGCTGGCGGGGGTCCTGAGGGTGCGGATATCGCGCATGCAGCGGCACTTCCACCACCACCTCGCTGCAGCTGCCAGCAACAACCTGCATGGCGGAAAGGAGGGACGCGGGGCTTGCCAAAGCGCCGGCTGTGCAACAAGCCCAGCCCAGCACGCGCTGTGGTAGCGGCCAGAAGAGGCATGCATCCTCAGTGAGCAGCACTGAGCAGCACACGCCCCACCTTAGCATCCATTCCCGCTGACTGGTTGCAGCGGCTGTAGACAGCCAGCAGAGTTGGCGGGCTGTGTCGTTCGATGCTCTCCACATCCACCGGGCCAAACAGCTTGACCGCTGGGCCCTGACCCACTGCGGCTGCATTCTCCAGCTGATACACATCGGCAAACACGGCAGGAGGCAGGGGCTGCAGCAGGGCAGCCTCGGTGCAGCACGGTGGCGGTGGCGGCGGCGGCGACGTGGCTGTCGCTGCCTGGTCGCCCTCGCCGCTGCGGTCGTCCAGCTGCGGGCAGCGCACCGCCAGGCGGTACATCAGGTGGCGATGGGCGCCCAAGCCGTGCAGGCTGACGTGCAGAGTGGCCGACGCCCCGCGATTGCCGCAGTGTCCGCCGCAGTGGTGCTGCTGAGCATCATTCAGCAGGTCTGGTGAGATCGACACGGCGTGCGCCAGGCCCAGCGCCAGCCACAGCGCTGTGGCGGTGCGGGTGGCACGCCCCATGTCTTTGGTGGCCTCCACACACGCCCCTCAAGGGTGTATGTTGTTAATGACAGGACTAGGGGGATTCATTTAGAGCGTCAAATCAAGAGGAGGGTTTTTTCATGATCGCAGCGTGCACGCCACAGCCCGTCACCCGTCGACAGCCTTCTGACAGTCATTTCTGCAGAAGGATCCCATGGTGCTGCTGAGGTGCTGCCATTGTTTGTGTCCGGGTAACCTGCTACTGCAGACGCCCATCTGCAGGGCACACTTCAACTCGCGCCAGCCCCGCTCAGTTGCACGTGCAGCTTGCGGCAGCGGCACCCTCCAAATGTCGCTCTGCATTTGCATGCAATTGCCATTCACATTAAATTCATCTCATCTGCACAACAGGTAACGTGCCTGCCTTGCCTAGTTATCCATCCGCATGAGCCGCGCAAGGGCACATCCCAATGCCGATCTCGCTGCCGCCAGGCTGGCGGCGCAGTTGAAATCGTGGCCCTCGGGCCGCCGTCGCGCGTTCTATGTGATCAAGCCGTCATTTAAGGTATCAGGGCAGCAGAGGAGGCCGCAGCATGGCCGACCCACTCCTTCCCGATTACTGGGCGGCGAAAGAAGACTGCGTGGTTTGCGGCGGAACCGACTACCAGCCGGGCTACGGGCCGCGCACCCTCGTCTTCTGCGACTGCTGCTTGGGCGGGGCCGCGACGCATATCGAGTGCTGGCACGCGCATAGCGGCGAGCTGCTGACCGAGGATCGCCTGGCCTCGCCTGCATTCCAGTGGTTCTGCTCCGAGGCGAGTGCTGGTGTCAGGCGGAGCGGACCGCAGCCCGCCGCCGCCGCCGCGGCAGGCTCGCCGCCGTCGCCGCCGCTGCCTGTGCACGCCCTGCTTCTGCTGAAGCAGAGCACCCGGCCGCCTCCCGCATGCTGCGCGCAGGGCTGCAAGCGGGTTAGTGAGCGCCTGGTGGAGCTGACTGGCGTGCCACGGCCGGTGCAGGAGGCCGGCGGCGGCGGCAGCGAGTACAGGTGAGGGAGCGGCGCGGGGCAGGGTTGCGCGGGCTGCCGCTGCCGGCTGATGCCTGCCTTGCCGCTCTGAAGCCCCTGCGAAGGGGCGCTGGGCTTCCACAGTCACGTGTGCATCTGCGTGGAGCAGCCTCAGGCCTCTCAGCACGCCTGGACAAGCCCGCCGTTCCTGCCGCCGCCATCCCTCGCCCGCCCGCCCGCAGCGTGGAGCTGGTGCGCTGGTCGGAGCGGGACAAGGGCGCCCAGAAGACGGTGGGGCACGCACGCAGCATCTTCAACTCCGCGTTCGGTGGGTGCCGCCTGCTGCCTGCCGCCTGCTGCCTGGCGCCGCCGGCCTGCGACGAGGGCTTGCAAGTTCGGCGCTGCGCACTGCTCGCACCTGCTGCTGTGCGCACTCTCACCCCACCTTCCTCCCCGCCCACCCTCCCTCATTCCCTCCCCCTGCTGCACGCCTGCCTGCCTGCAGCGCCTCTGGTCATGGACAACGGCAAGAACCTGATTGACATGGTGTGCGAGGCTTACGAGTCTCCTGATCCCGCCATGTCAGCGCCAGGTGGCGCCCCAGGGGCTGGCTCCAACGGCGGCGGCGCCGGCGGCGCAGAGGAGGAGGAGGAGCAGCCTCCGGCAGAGTACAATTTCAGTGAGGCGGCAGCCTGACGCTGTGTGCTGCCAGGGGGGCTGCTGCTGCTTCCGGTGCTAGCCGCCGCTGCTGGCTGCCGCCGTGCTGGCTGCGGCGCCGGGTGGTGCAGAGCCCGCTGCCGCGTGCCCACCCACCCACCCGGCTGCTGCCGCCGCAGGCACCTTCCGCGTGCTGCTGCTGCGCAAGCGGGGCATCGTGGTCAGCGCTGCCACGGTGCGCGCCTTTGGCACGCGATTCGCCGAGGTGCCGTTTGTGGCGACGCGGGAGGGCTACCGCCGCGAGGGGCACTGCCGCCGCCTGATGCAGGCAAGCCAGGCCGCCGGCCAGGCCGCCGCCCAGCCTGGCGCAGCCGGCAGCTGGCCCACCGTGCAGTAGACACGTGCAGGCACAAAGTAAAATAGCCGCATGCGCACACCTCGGGCGCTTTCCGGCGCCGCCCGCCAGCACGCCTGCTGCCGACACCTGCCCCCCGCCGCCCCGCCGCCTGCCTGACCACCTGTATGGCCTGGCCTGCAGGCGCTGGAGGGCCTGCTGCTGGGCGCGGGGGTGCGCCACCTTGTGGTGCCCGCCATGCGCTCCGTGCTGCCCATGTGGCTGCGCAAGTTTGGGTACCGCCAGTTCAGGTGGGGCGCCAGCGCATCCAGGGAGGCACGCTGTGTGTGTTAGTGTTAGTGTGTGTGGCTGTGTGGCTGTGTGGCTGTGTGCGTGTGGGTGGATGCGTGCCTGCCTGCCTGCCCAGGCTGTGCTGTCAGGTTCACTGGGACTGCTGCTGATTCCCAGCTGCCCCTGCTGCTGTGTTCGCCCCGGCCTCTGCCTCTGCCGCTGCGGCCGAAGCTGCTGCCTGGCGCTGCCTCACCGCGCCCACCCCTGCCGCCAGTGCTTGCCCCGCAGCCACCCCTCCCTGTGCCTACCTTGTGCCTCCCATGCTGGTGCAGCGAGGAGGAGTGCCGGGTGGTGGAGGAGCGCATCGTCATGCCAGACCCAGCCAGCGCCAGCCTGGTGCACAAGCTGCTGGAGGCGCCGCCAGAGGCGGCGGCGGCGGCTGCAGGGGGCGGCAGGACGGGCGGGGCGGGTACCAAGCGTGAGCACTGGGGCGGGCTCCCTTGGCCAGCAACCCCCAATATCCTGGCTGCCTGGCTGGCCTGCATGCTGCCGAGCGGCCTGGCAAGCCAACTCAGTTTTCTGCCGACAACGCTTGACCTTCTGCGTCTGGCCTGGCCGTCTGTGCCGCTGCTGCCGCCCGCTGCCATGCAGCCAAGGTGAGCCGCACCGTGCGCTTCGGAGTGGTCAGCTACGCAGAGTCATCAGACGATGAGAAGGACAGCGGCGAGGCGGACGGCGGCGGCAGGCGCAAGAAGGGGCGGCGCAAGGGCAAGGGCAAGGCGGCCGCCAAGGCAGACTCGGGTGGGGCCCAGCTGTGCGGTGGGACCAGCTGCCGCTGGTCGGCTGCATTCCGACCGGCTGCCAAGCGCCCATGCCAGCTGTTGAGCCGAGCACTCCTTTACATTTGGGTTGGATTGCTTGCTGCCTTGTTTACTTGTTTGTTACCAAGCTGTTCCTGGCTCCCGCCGGGCATGGCATGGTGCTGCCGTGCAGGCGGCTCCGATTACGAGATGTCTGAGGAGGAGGAGGAGGGGGCGGCGGAGGAGTCGGATGTGGATCTGGAGGAGGAGGAGGAGGAGCATGTCTGCCAGCGCTGCAGGCGCCGCTCCGACACCTGCATCGCCAGCGCTGCCACAGGCGAGCCTCTGGGGGAGCGCTGATGCGGGCTCTGGATCTTCTGGGCGAGCCGGTGGTGGTGGTGGCGTGTGTG